GGAATAGATGACTCACGAAATTAACTAAATTGGAAATGTAGTATGTTTATTTGTCATGATTATTGTCTTAGATGATATCAAGTCAGAACTATTTATTTATATTAGAAATTCATTACAGATATAACTTATATTTCTTATTATTGTGGTAATAACATATAAAAGTACCTGTTGCCTCCTCTTATCAAAGCCACCCAAAAAGAAAAGAAAGGACGAACAGTACCCTTTTGGCCTTTTTTGAGGTACATTTATTTCTTCTTTGGCAATCAATATTAGTAAAATCGGTCAACCTTTGACTCGTAGTTCACCAAGTATCTTTAATATGTTGCTTACGTCTTAAATGAAGAAATTATTTGTCGCGAAACAGCAAATCGTGAATCTTTATTCTCTCTTTGGAATTCATTAGGATCTTGTTCGGGAAATATAATAATCCCGTTCAGGAATAATATCCACGGCAATTAATAATAACACAAGAGAGTAACAACGGCACCAACTCTTTTAACGAGGTAAAATACAATACCCGAGCGGAGCAATATTATTACTATAATATTACAACTTAATAGTGTCAAAAGACTACTACAACTTTGAAAGAAATAACACTCTTTATTTTAAACACCTCACTGCAATATTACTCACACTCACTATTTATTTCACATACTACAATATGTGAATTATTCTCTCTAACTTCTATTGTGTCTCTTATTTTGGTATGTTTGAAATGAGGAACGAGGGCCTCCATTTATAGCAAGAAGAGCCGATAGTTTAACTAATCAAAATTGATTGGTATCTGACAATTTCAACCAATTTGCCAATTTGCATATTCCATCGCACACCCGCAAATCCAACCAATCAATATTTTTTCTCTTTTATGTTATTTACTTATTAGTTGAGGTATGCACCCCACAAATCTCTCCCCTAATTTTGATTTTTCTTCTTTATTCCAAGTCTTGATCTCAATCTCTGAAAATTTTTAAATTTGAGAGGTTTTGTAAAAATGCGTGCAACTTGATCATGAGACTTCACATATTTGAGTTCTACCTCCTTCTTGGCAATGCATTCTCTGATAAAGTGATACCGTGTGTCTATATGCTTGATTCGATCATAATACACCGGATTCTTGGCAGTGCCTGTACGGATTTCTTATCAGTTAGAATCAAACCTGGTAGAGAATTCCAAATATTGGAATTTAGTTCTAAGGCTTGTAGGATAAGGTAGCACAAAGGATCTTCAGTCTGACTTAAGTTAATGTGCTCATATGGAGTGTGGTGGCACGTGTAGGTGCCATGAGTTGTTAAACAATAATTTTGGGCAACTCTAGAACGGTTCTTGGCACGTTCGAGGACGAACGTATGTTTAAGTGGGGGAGAATGTAACGACCCGATCAATCGTTTTGAGTTCTAGCATGTCGTTCGGCGATTTGATACCCTGAGTAGCTTCACTTCATGTATTATGACTTGCACGTGTAGTTGGATTAGATTTTCGAGAAAATCAGAGTTGGTTTAGAAGAATATTTCTCAATTTAGAAGCTTTAAGTTGGAAGAGTTGACTAAGGTTTGACTTTTAAGTATATGACCTAGGATCGGAGTTTTGACAGTCCCGTTAGGCTCGAATGATGATTTTGGACTTAGGCGTATGTCTGGATTTGGATTTGGAGGTTCGTAGGTTGATTTGATGCTTTTTGGTAAAAGCTCGAAGATTGAAGGTTTAGAAGGTTGATAGGTTTGACCGAGAGTTGACTTTGTAAATATCAGATCCGGATTGTAGTTTCGGGATTGGTATAGGTCTGTTGTGTCATTTGGGACTTGCATGTAAAATTTGAGGTCATTCCGGATTGATTTGGTATGGTTCGACATGAGTTTTAGAAGTTTAAAAGTTCATTAGTTCATTAGGCTTGAATTGATGTGTGATTCATGGTTTTGATATTTTTTTTGGTATGATTTGAGGCCTTGAGTAGGTTCGTGTTATATTTTGGGACTGGTTTGTGTAATTGGACGGGGTCCTGGGGGGGTCTCGGGTGTGTTTGGGTTGTGTCGCGCTCTTATTTGATGTTTCAATGTCGTTTCTTTGGGTATAAAGGGTACTATATTGAGTAAATGATCTTTAATTTGTGATTAAACTGAATTATTAGATCCGTATCGTAATTACGGAACCATAACAACAAGAATCGTCGAATTCTGAGGTTGTATGAGAGAGTTATGCTCATTTCCGTGTCGTGAAAGGTTGGCGGTTTCTGGTGTGAACTTTTATTCTTCGCAAACGCGAAGAAGGAATTTTGGGTTGATCGGTCAATGCAAAAAATTATTCTTCGCGAACGTGATGGTGTCCCGCGAAGGCGAAGAACAAAAATCTCCTGGGCAGTATTTTAAATGGGGAGACCGATCATTTTAGTATTTTGAGCATATCTTGAGTTCTAGAGCTCCGTTTGAGTTGATTCTAACGGCGTTGTTTTCGTCTCAAAAAGAGGGTAAATATCTAACCTTTCCTTTGATATTTTTTCATGATTATTTTCGTTGGTTATTATTTTTATCCGTGTTTGGATTGTGAAAATTGGGATTTGGGGTCCCAAAGTTGAGAAATGATAAATCCTTGATTTGAGAGTCAATTGATGGATAAAATTAGATGATTTTCTGTATATAGACTATATAAGTTATGGTTAATATTTATTTTCGATAATTTAAGGAATCTAGCACGTGGGCCCGGTGGTTGACTATGTTGGTAAAGAAAAGCACAGGTTTCTGTGAGTGCTAGATTTTATTCTATTTATTTAATAAAATTATTGATTTTAAAATTTTAAAATGGATATTTAAGTGGAGGTTCACGCGTTGGCTTGCCTAGCAACATAGTTGGACGCCATCACACCCTATTGTGGAACTTGAGTAGTGACAAGTTTGTATTAGAGTTTTAGGTTAATTTAGGTTTCACGAGTCATGAATAAGTTTAGTAGAGTCTTGCGGATCACTACGGAGATGTCTGTACTTATCTTCGAGAGGTTACATGGTTTTTAGGAGAATTTTCCTTCTTTATTCCTCGTCGTGTGGTTTGATTTCATTGAAGCTTATGTCTTCATTTCCTTCCTACTCATTCTTATACGATGTTTAGTGCATGTTATCAATTATGCATCGAGGAGTTGTAGTGGTGATGTAGATGTGGTGCAGGATGTTTATCCTTGCATATCCGGGCAAACTATTATCGTCGCCTTGTGGAGGGGTGTTCTATCATTTTAGCCCAGTGTTAGAGTTGCCGACAGTTTTGAGGCTATGCACAGTGTATTATGATGTTCATACGTTATTATCACGTAGTGCTAGTATGAATGGTATGTTGCATATTTATGTGTCGCGACAGTGAATGTACCAAGATGAGGATTTCTAGATTCATGGTTTAGAGATTTAGCATTTAATTCCAGCGGATGAGAGGCAATTAGACTATGAATATTCAGGCTTTGGTTGATGGAGTAGCGAGATTGGATATTTTCAAACTTGCTGAAATTCTTATTTGTAATGTGGTATCGTCATCTTTGTTTGAACGCATTTAGGTTAGTCGATGTGATGGTCTTCATTGGTTTTCCTTCAGGGCAGGGTGTTGTGAAATGGTACCTAAATAGTGGGTATTAGAGATGGCAGTGTGTGACAGCTTCAGAGTCGAATCTGTGTTTCTAGTGTTGATGGTTCGAGAAAGATGATCTTTATGGAGGCTTAGAGTTGGTGGTAATTCATTAGTTTGGATGCTATAGAGATGGATTATGATTTGAGAAAGTATTTTAGTAGCGAAGGATGAGGAAGGGCATGGAGGGTTATGCCTCGGGATAGATAAGTTGTTAGCAGGACAAGTACGAGAAGAAGAGATCAAGTAGTTTTCTTAGGAAGGTTGAATGTGACAGGAAGAGTTTGCTTGGAACATAGAGGGATGTGTAATCTTGATTATCGTTTTGGGATGCAACATGATTTTGAGTTTTGGAATGTATTGTTATACATTCAATTGATGCTAATGGGATGAACGGACTTTTGCAGCTGGCGGATGAGTGTGGACCTAGGAGAATCAACATATTTCATAATGGACGTGGTTATGGCTATGTCGTTGGAGGATGTCGGTATGAGGTTACACAGGTGGGCTATCTCCTGTGAGAAGGTTAAGGGTTACACGACTCCTGATGAAGTTCCTATAAAGAGTTCTGCCTTCTATCCAATGGGATGCATGTACTGTAATGTGAGTTTGGATCACTTGAAGAAGATGGTACGACTGTCAGGAGGTCGAGTGTGCGATTGTGGCTGATAATTTGGGATGTATTATGATTAGTGCAACAAGAAGTTATGAGAATTTTGGTTGAGCAACGGTGCGAGATCATGGTAACTGAGGAGGAGGAGTCATTGTGGGTTCTGGATTTATCTGATTGTGGCTTAAAGCTAAGTAGGGGAGTCTACCGTCTATGATTGGGTCACGTGGTGATATGCATTTGCAGTTTCGGGTTATCGTTACTTTAGACATGTAATTTTTGACCCGCCCCAAAATTTTACACATTTTTAGCGCTTAGATGCTTCTTTTAGTTTTAATATTTTTACTTTGCTTATTTTTGACCTTTTGCTTTATTTTCCCTTAAAATAAAAACTACAATTTTTTTTTAGTTAATTAATTTTGTCTAATTATATGTAGTTCATCTTACTTCTATAAAAATGAAAATCCCAAATAGAGTCACGTTGTTTTAGGATTTTATGCATTATGATTCAATAGTTTAGTCTAAATTTTCCTATTTTGGTTTTCATAAGAGAAGAATAAAAGAAAGTGAATGAAATGTGTTCTGTTTTTGTTGTTAGCTATTTAATACACGCATTCCATAATTTCTTTTGCTATTAGTTAGTTGGTATTTTAAAAGAAGAGAAGAAAGACAAAATAAGAAAATTCCAAAGAAAGCAAAACCAAGAATGCCTTCCAATAAAACAATTTGCACAGAGGGATCACTCACGTCATTTTCCTCCATAATCCCACACGATTTTTAGGTCCTCTTCAATTTGGTTTGATTTCTTTTTATCTTGGTCCAGTAGAAACATTTCTTTGGGCCCAAGATACACTTCATGGGCTGCACACATAGATAAGTACCAACTTTATAGAATAGAACAAGGGGGACAGAGCACGAGAGAGAGGGAGTGAGTGAGGACAACACTTTGAGGGGAAGGGAGAATTTTCGGGAAAGAGAGTTTGAGCGGGGCCAACACTTTGAGGGGGAGAGAGGATTTTTGGGAAGAGAGATTTTTCATACATAAATTTCGGGAAAAGAGGGAGATGGAAGGGGGTTTTAATTAAAAAAGAAAATATCATTTCTCTTGAATCTCTTCTCTGATTTTTTCTTCTTGAATTCCAGAAAAATCATACAAAAAAAAAAGATTTCTGTTTTTAAGTGAGTAGGATCCGAATTTCGAAAAGATATATGAAAATATATTCCAACTTTTCTTTTGGTTTCTAATTTCAAAGATGGGGTACCCAGGTCGCAGTTTGTGAGTTCGAGGCCCGGTCGTAAGGTTCATGTTCGTGATTCTGGTTAAATTTTTATGCTGATTCTCTCTTAGATTTTGTAATCAAAGATTTTTGTATCCACGGATTCTTCTACTCTGATTAAGGAAAAGTTTGGCTTCAACAGGTTCATTACTTTATCCCCTATTTATTTAATTTTAAAAAGTAATTAAAAGATGAGTTGAATCAATAGTGAGAGCTAGTGTTTATTAATTTGTTAGTTTACGTGATTGTGGCTACCTGTTTCTTCCTTAATCTCTTTTGGATAATTGTTTAGCATTTGAAGTGAGTTAATACATGTTTGAACTTGTAGCTGTATATCTTTTGTGTTAAATCTGAAAGTTGAGTGCTAAAAGTATTGTAGTTGACAAACATCATGTTTAGTTTTCAGCTTAAATAGGTGAATAAAATTTTAATGATTTCTCTGCAATTTCTTGGGTTTTTAAAGGAATGAAATCATCTATTTATTATTTGAAGATCTATGAGTTGCTACCTAAATTTTCCATGTAAACAAGTGTTTTGAAGCATATATTTTTTTAATTGTTTGAGCCATGTTTGCTGCCAATCTCTCGTTCTTAAAGGTTAAAGTATCTTTCTAGATTAGCAGTAGATTGGATAATAAGAAAACAAATTTTCAGCATGCCATTCCTACTTATAGAAATTACTCTTTAGTGGTTCAATGAGTTATTTTTATTGTATTTTGATAAAAGTGTTTCTATAGTTCATTTGAATTTTCTTGTTAACTTTGGATCGTATGCATTGAAATACATATTTCTTTAGTTGATTTTGGTTTAAACAAGGACTTGTTCTTATTGAATGTTTCTTTGTTATCTTGTTTAATGCTTCAGTGTGCTTGAGTGCCATTTAATTGTCCTAACGTGCTAAATTAAAATTAAACTACGGTGTCATCCTGTTTCATTTGGTTCTTTTGAGTGCTTATTTGATGAAATATTTCTTTCTGTTCTTCTTTGTTTTCGTTCCTATCCGCCATTGTTTATATGCTTCTTCGTGTGAAAGGGGGCGAGGGGGTTTGGGACGCTAAAGAAGTTAAAATGAGCCTGCCATGAATTTTTTTACTTAGTTTCTTTTATTTATTTTATTACTCTGACTGCTAGGAGCATGTTTAGGCCGGCTACACTTTGGTAGGCAATCTTTAGGTCTTTTCTTTTATTTTGTTTGAGGTAAGAAGTCGTTCCCTTTAGTTTATATTCAGAGGAATGCCCCGCATATTTTGTATATATTTTTTCCAGGGAATGCCCCGTAGTGAATGTAATTGGAGGCGGTGACGAACATTATGGAATGTGCATAGTGTAGACTTTTAGTCTTTTCTTCTTATTTTATTCTTTTTTTCTTTTATTTAAGTGGGAACAACCTCGAGTCTTTTGTGTGTTTATTTTGCTTTTGTTTGTTTTACCTCAATTAGAATATTCTTAAAAGCCAATTAGATCAAGTATGCAACCATACTAGTTACGGGACTAGGGGAATACCTAACACCATCTCCCCGAGTCAAATAAACCCCCCTACTTAGAGTCTCTGGTGCAAACTAGTTTTGGAGTTTAAATGTGTTTTGAAAGGAAGAATTATTTTTTTTAAAAAAATGGTGACCTGGCACACCGAAGCCATATGTCAGGTAGCGACTCCGAAAATCCTTTGAAACACGAATTATATCACTTTCAAATTGAAAACCCTTTGAGCCTTACACTTTATATCTAGTTTAAAGAGGAGCTAGTGAGGGGTAAAAAAAAAGGGGTGTGACATGTACGTTGGTGAATTTGTTATTACTAAGGGAGGAAAACATTAGGGTAATTTGAGCAGGGGATTTGATGGATGTGATCTACAAGGGAAAGTAATCATCCAGTTGCTTCATTGGAGTGCTCATGTGCTAACGGAGCACTAGTGGTTTGGTTATATAATCGGGGCTGGACTAGAGTGGGCGACTCTCAATAATGATTTTAGTGGATTCGAGATTCTAGGTGCGGTGCTTAAGGATTTTTAGGTTCATTATCTGGTTGAGGATTGGTTTTTGCAGTAGAGTGTGAAGGTACTCAGAGCATTTCTATATTATCAACGGGTCTACGGTGCAGTGTTAAAAAAGTAGGAGAAACAGCTTCGGATTTGCAGAAGATCTAATCAGCGCAGGTGTATCAGTTAGAGAAACTATAGGCTGCATGAGCAGGGTATGAAATGGCTTATGGGTATTGAAATGACGTGGTCTCGTGATTTGGGTTACTCGATATGAGTATTGATTCGGATCCGTTATGTGATTTAATAGAGGTATTGATTCTGAAGCCAAGTCAAGAAGAAATTGGAAGAAGCTGAATCAGCCTAGTAGTGGTTTGGATCGACATGATTAAGGAAATGATTGGTTCCTTCAGTGTGGTAAGGCAATACATGTGTTTCGTGGCTGTATGTGCGGGCTTTACAGTCTCCGTAATTTGATGGATTTGGAGGTATTTGATTCAGATGGTTTTGATTATGTATAAATGGGTCCCGGAAGAGTTATGGCGGTTTAGAACACGACTTGAGTTCTATGTATTTTGCGGCTATGGGAATATTGTTGTGTGTTACGATTCTTCTTCTAAAATGAGTTGAGTGAAAGGTTCTAGCCTATGAAGTGTTTATTCTACTAGTGGTTCAGGAGTTATGATGAAATGCTTGTACTCTCACGTAGTAGCATGATAGGTGCAATGAACGGTATGGAATTGGAATTTGAGGATCAAGGTTGCGATCCAGTTTTGACAGGACTATCACGAGCTCGAAAGAGTTATTGGTGTTATTTTTGTGTCACCGTGAATAGTGTTATGTTAAGAGGCATTGTGTATTGATTTATGGATTGTTGATTTGCATTACAGTAATAGTATGGTTGGTAGCCATGGATGTGCAGATTTTGCTACCTGGTGTGGAAGGTCATAGGAGTATCTCCCGCGAGATGATTGTATAAGCGTGACATGTCAACCATTTATGTGGTAGAGATTGAAATCAGGTATGGAGATTCTAGTATTATCGATGATGGAAGAGTATATGTCTTAGAGGCACTCTATTTCTTTGGTTGCGGACTGTTTTGTTCCATATTGGATGGTAGATCGTATGTGTCATGAATAGGGTCATTGTGGATCTTTGAAAGATTATTGGCCCATTTTGGGATGATCGGTATCAGCTTGAGGTGCGTTGGTAGGCCTAATGTGAATGTATATTTTATACCAGATCAGATATGCTTATTCGGCATATCATCGCTTATGAATGGGTCTTTGGGCGTGGTGGATGATATTCCTGCCTTCATCTATTTCTGGTTCTACTCTTTTATGCCATATGATTTGTGAGACGGCTTGATTAGTCACACGTATGTTGTGATCCTGTGTATCTTGTGGTGTTATATGAGCGATATGGCTCTCGAGATGCAGGTCGTTTATTGCACCTTAGTCGTGCTTAGAATTTTGAAGGGCATGGCGCTACCTGTCTTCCTAGGGTTGTGTTTATGCACTTGGCATGCTTGGGGTCGATATTCGAGCATTTCGTGGGTATGAGCATTTTGGCTCGATGGGTATTTCCTTATTGATTGTTATGTGCGGATCGGGTGGCACGCTACCACAAGTATGATGTTTAGATCGGGATACACACCGCAATAGTGAGATATTGAGTATGGTTCCTTATACTTATTTTGTGTGTTTTATTTTTCATCTCAGAGATAGGTTCATAGCATTGGTTTGGTTGTTTTTTTTTCGTTGCGCAGGACGGATAATCTTGTATTCGGGTTAGTTATTCCTTATTGGTCATATTCGAGTTGTGGCTTGTTAACGCATTGACGACGTCGTATGAGATTTCAGATGGTGTTTGAGGTGGTTTATTGCCCGAGCAGCTTGTACTGGGTGAGACGAGGTTGTTGGACCTGGAATTAGTGCAATCAGATTTATACAATGTATATTAGAGGAAAAATGTCACTAATTAGTTTTGTATGAGGCAATGGTTCTCACCAAGAGGAGAGACTCCAGGAGTTATTGATTTAGCAGGTGGTTATGAGTTTCTACACATCTCTTTCATTCTTGTGGTATTGCGAGGGTTGGAACAGGTCTTATATGCGTTATGAGGTATATTATGGGCATCGGCTTCGTGAATTTGCAGCTATTGTGATTGGAGGATGTTATTATGAGCATTCGAATTATGCGGTACATTGCGTTAATTCAGCATGGGTGCATGATCATGTTTTGGTACAACATGTTGAGATTGATATGACGTGCGTATGTTAGAATCAGACCTGGTAGAGAATTCCGAATGTTTAGCAATTAAGCATGAAATTATGGAAGGGATGGACAATTAAATACAAGTATAACTAAATGACAAGTAACAATTATCGCATGGAAGTCAAATAAGCGTGTACCAATTAAGACATGTAACAAGATATACAATGGAGTAACGAAAGCATGGAAACAAGTAATACAACGACGTATATATACTCGCCACCTCGTATATATACCGTTTCTCCTATAATGCACATAATAAGAAGTTCAAGGATCCCTAATTCCCTCAAGTCAAGGTTAGATCCAACACTTACCTCGCTCCACAGCTCAAGCAATCACTCAATCATAGCCTTGCCTTTTGAACAAGCCTCAAAACCAACCAAATCTAGTAATTTATTGACCAAATGATTCAAAATAAGCTTTAGAAATTACCCACAAATGAAAGAGGTTCAATTTAGATCTTTTTTGAAAAAGTCAACAAACGTCAACCCCGGGCCCGCTTGGTCAAAATCAAGATTCGAACCAAAACTCGATTACCCATTCACCCTGAGCCCGGTTATGTAATTTGTTTCGAAATCCGACATCAATTCAAGGTCAAAATCCTAATTTTACAAAAATTCTTAATTCTACTCAAATCTCTAATTTCTACTGTGAAAATCCTAAATTTGATGTCGAAATCTCATGAAATGTAATGGGTAATTGAAAATAGATTAAAGTCACTTACCAATAAATTTAGAAAGAAAACTCTCTTGGAAAATCGCCTCTAAAGTGTTTAGGGTTGAGAAAATGTGAGAAATGAGCTAAGTCCCATTTTCTCTTCTTTTACCCAACTGCGGATGTCGCAATTGCGAACTTCGCAAATGCGAGAAAGGGGTCACAAATGTGAACCCTGTCTCAAAAGAGCAGCCATCGCAATTGCGACATTTTGGCTTACAAATGCGAGCTTCCATCCTTCGCAACTACGAGCATAAACTTCGCAAATGCGAAGCAGTCAACAGCAGTCAATGATCGCAATAACGACCATTTTCTTCACAAATGCGAAGGTCCACAGTTTGCAAATGCGAACAAAAATCTTGCAAATGCGAGGTTCACCCAATCCATCCCATGCTCGCAAATGCGAGATCTGCAGCAAAGCACCAGCACCAACTATTCCAACCTTAACCAAACTCATCTGAAACACGTTCGAAATTCACCCGAGCCCCTCGGGCTCCAAACCAAATATGCACACAAGTATAATAACATCATACGAACTTGCTCGCATAATAAAATCACCAAAATAATATCTAAATCTACGAATCATTAATCCTCAAAACGAATGAACTTTCAAAGTGAAACTCAAGAATACTAGAATCACGTTTAAGTGTCCGAATCATGCCAAATAAATTCCGAATTGAACCAAATTTTGCAAACAAATTTCAAATAGTAATACAGAACTATTCCAAGTCTTAATATCATAATCCGAACCCGTTAGCTAATAAGTCAACTTACGGTCAAACTTAGAAATTCTTCAACTTTCAAAAATGCTAGTTTTCGGCAAAATGAGTCATAACAAGTTAGGGATTTCTGAATTAAATATCGGGAATACGCCCAAGTTCCAAATTATGATACGGACCTACCGGGACCGTCAAAATACTAATCCGTATCCATTTACATAAAATGTTGACCGTAGTTAACTCAAGCCATTTTAAAGACAAAATTTTACATTTTCTTAAAGTTTTCACATAAAGGCTATCCAGGATGGGACACGGACTGTACATGCAAATTGATACATGCCAAACGAAGCTAATCAGGGTCTCGGAATACGTAAATAGAGGCTAAATATCAAAATGACCTATCGGGTCATCACAATCGCACTATTATTTGATGTTTTGACGTCGTTTCTTTGGCCATAAAGGGTACTATATTGAGCAAATGACCTTTAATTTATAATTATATTGAACCATTAGATCCGTATCATAATTACAGAACTATAGCAATAAGAATCGTCGAATTACGAGGTCGTATGAGAGAGTTATGCCCATTTTCGTATCGGAAAAGATTGTTGGTTTCTGGTGCGAACTTTTGTTCTTCGCAAAGTAATTTTGGGTTGATCGGTCAATGCAAAAAATTTTAGGTTGATCGGTCAATGCAAAAAATTTCTTTTCGCGAAGGTGAAGAACAAAAATCACATGTGCAGTATTTTAAATGGGTAGACCGATCATTTTAGTATTTTTGAGCATATCTTGAGTTTTAGAGCTCCGTGTGAGGTGATTTTTGCTGCGTTGTTCTCGTCTCAAAAAGAGGGTAAACATCTAACATTTATTTTGATGTCTTTACATTATTATTTCCATTGGTTATTTTTTTATCCGTATTTGGATTGTAGAAATTGGGATTTTGAGACCCAAAGTTGAGAAATGATAAATTCTTGATTTGATAGTCAATTCATGGACGAAATTAGATGATTTTATGGATATAGACTATATAAGTTATGGGTAATAATTATTTTCGATAATTTTAGGAATTCGACACATGGGCTTGGTGGTTGACTATGTTGCCTTTTCGAGCGAAGTTGGGAATTATTATAAATTATTAAATTATGAGTATTGAAGTATATTTTGATTGGTTTGCATGTTGTTTGATTAGTTTCAGATTGTTTGGCATCGAGTTGAGAAGTTAGAGAGGCGTTGGAGCGGGTTATCAGATTTCGGAACGAGGTAAGTCTCTTATCTAACCTTGTGAGAGGGAATTTACCCCGTAGGTGTTATATATATTATGTGCTAAATGTTATGGGAGCTACTCACGTATGAGGTGACGAGTGTCCGTGTGTATGCTAGAATTCCTTATTATGTCCGTGTTGACTTAGACTCACGCTATGCTTTAATTGTACTATTTGAGTTATTCTTGCATGTTTAAAGGCTTTAATTTACATGTAGCCTGAGACTAGACTCGCATATAGTATCAGACTTGCTATTTTAGATACTTGACGAGCTACGTGATTAGACATGGAAATTATACTTTCCTTTACGGATATCTTCCACGTTGTGCATATTCGTTCGATAGTTTTTCTTGAATTTTATAACTCACATGTATATTCATGAGTGGGGTTAGTGAACCGTCAAAGTTTCATATTCTAATGGGATCGGGATGAATGCCTCAGCAATACTCTTACGGTATTGGACCGTTCGCCTCGGTAAAGTAACATATTCTTATGGGATCGGGCCGTTCGGCTCGGCAGTATCATGTATCATAATCTTATAGGATCGGGTCATTCGCCTCGGCAATATTGTGTATCACACTCTTATGGGATTGGGCCTTTCGCCTCGGGCAATTCTATGAAATATGATGGTAGGCTATAATCCCGTTTTTAGTCCCCTATTGCACTCTAATTCATTGCACTTTACTTATGTTGAGCTTTAATTAGGCATGTTTTGCACTTATTACGTGTTTTATGCCCTCTAGGAGTGATTCCGAGCTATGTAGATGTTGTGGCATGAATTCATGCTATTTGGAGCTTTGAAGTCTGAGTAAAAGCCCAAGGATTAAGTTGGGATCGTGTACGGGGATCAACGGATGATAATGCACTTTAAGAACGAAACGAAGAATCGAGCAGGCATACTGCGTATTGTCCAATAAAATGCACATAACTTTTCGCTCAAAAATACGTTTAAGCTCAACAATATATCATTGGAAAGCTATTTACAAGGGCTACAACTTTCATGTTTTACGTTTTCTGAAATTCCCAACTTACAACCCAAGTGCGTGACCAAGTGCGCGATCGCGCTCTTGGGCGCGCACTTGGGGCAGAACAATGAGCAAAATGTGCGAGCATGTCTCCAGGTGCGTGACCGCACATGTCCTGTCCAGAAAAAGTCCTATTTCGCTAAGAAAAGGGTAGTTTCATCCAGGATTTGGTTTGGGGCGGATTAAATACCCCAAAACACTATTTTTGACACACTTTTGACATACCTTAGACCTAAGTAAGCTAAGGAGAAGAGGGAGAAGCAAGAGCACAAGGATTTCATCCTTTCTTCCTCACTCAAGATCCGGGTTTGGATTGTATTTATGCTTTCCTTTTTTTTTTGTTTCATTTGTGAAGCACTTCTCCATGTCTGTGGAGTAGAACCATTTGGGTTTTGATGGATTTGGTGTATTGGTGGTTGTTTGTGGATTATAACTCTATTTTTATGTATTTGAATCATTTTTGGAAGATTTAATTGTTGCATCTATGTTCGCTTATTCTTGTAATCGAGGGACGCATAACTTGTGATATATTTGTACTATATTGTTGGTTGAGTTCATAGATTCTTCTAAGTAATCGAAAGAGGCTAGTTGAATCCTTGATTAAACCTAGTTAGGAGGATGATCGAAAGAGGTTCTCCTAAAGACCGATCCATTACGAATTCTTGCATATCTTCACAGAGCTTAAATTGGTTCATATTGAGAGGTTGAGACTTAATCGAGAGAGGAGTTTCTACTAAATAATTGTACTTATAATTAAGTGGATTTGAGAGACTCACTTGAACATTAGAAGTGAATTATCTAGAGTTAGATCCCGAACAATTATCTTGCACCTATCCTATCAACCTATATTTTCTCCCATTGATAACTTCCCTGCTTACCTTTGTTGCGATTGTCATTAGACAATAGCTTTAGATTCTTAGTTATTTGTAGTTAGAATTCATATATATATATATATATATCCATTTTTGATCCTCCTGGATAGCAATCTAGCTACAAACTACGATAATACTGTTTAAATCCAATCCTTGTGGATACGATATTATACTATACTATATTTGACTAGAGAGCACAATTTAAGTGTGTGTTTTGCGCTCGTCAAATTTTGGCGCCGTTGCCGGGGATTGGCAATCAATAGTGTTTGAAGTAGTTTGTAGTGCTAATTCAGGAATTAGCTTTTAATTTTAATTTTAATTTTATTTTTATTTTAAGTTTTAGTTTTGTTATGTTAACTTCTCTTCAAAATTTCTTTTGTTGAAGAAATCTTGAAAAGCATATTTTTGTTATTGAACTCTAAATGATGTGAAGATGGAGTACAACCAGCCTAAGAAAATGGTGAAGAGTTAGCAGCTAAATATTATCAGCAGTGCGCTATGTGTTTTAAATGCGGTGAAAATCATCTACGGGTTGATTGTCAAGCAGGTAGGTATTCTTCGTATGGTTCATCTTTTGAACACTTTTACTTTGTCTCTAATCCATACAGGTATGAGGATTCATATTGGTACAATTTTGACTCTGTTGGGATGAATACTCTTATTATGACTGAAATGAAAGCGAAGTAGGCAACCACCTCAAGCGGAGAATGTTAGTTTAGAAGCGCTTATGTATAAGTTCATAAATAAGGTGGAAGAGAGATTTACACATGATCATGAAGCCACTAACAATCTAACAATGCAAGTGAATCAGTTAGTGAATAGACTTAGCTCGTTGCATTGTGATGGTGAATATGTGAAAGAGATACCGTGTGAAAATGAGCCTACCCGAGATGATGATCATCTACAGAGAGAGTTTTCCACTCTGCAAGAGGACTCTGTTTCAACTGAAATGATTGAAAATGAGGTTTTGATTGATTATGAAGAAATACAAGAAGAGTTCAAGCCTCCACCCACCTATCCACAATTGCAACTTTTAGTAGAAGAGAATGAGGAACAAATGGTCTTGGACTTACCAGAGGAGTACTCACATGACCCTTCTTCTTCATTTTCTTATTCAAACCTTGATCATATGGATTTTGTTTTGGGGGATTTACAGGAATATGCATGTATTGATCTTGTGAATGAATGCAGAAACAAGTTAAGGATAATCCTACAAGAATAATCCACCACTCAAAATGAGACCAAGAAAGAAAAAAAGAGCAGGTCTTTCAAAAATCCCTAAAGGACTTTGGCCTGATAAGTTCCATAAAGAATCCCAATGAGTGAAAACGAAAAATAAATACAGAATTAGGGATGGAGTTCACAAGTTCTCGGAAACGAAAAAAGTCCAGGGGAGATTTCTTTACCTCTTGCTTTTTATTTATGTGTCATGAGGACATGCAACAATTTATAGTGTGGGGTGGCGATGTAAATATGTAAATAAGTAATTGTTTTCGTTTCTTGTGTGTTTTAGTTTCTTTTGATTGAAATTGTAAAGTCAAAAATCAAATTATTTAGGTAGTATAATAATTTACCCTTGGTTTTTCTTTGTGTCGCGATTCTTTTCCAAGAGTTTTATTTGAACCGAGTGTAGTTAGTCTTATTTTCTTTTTAGGAGTAGGATTTCTTGTGCTGCGATTTGAAATGAAAGCAATATCTCTTAACTGTATTATGCCTTGAGAATAGTAAGTGCTTTAGTTGTAACGCTTAGGCTCAGTTTTTGACTCTTGTATAAGCACCTTAAATTGTATGATCTTAACTTTGCTTAACTGTTTTGACTAGAGTGTCTTGATGAGTCCGATCCTGAGTGAGTATCTGCCATGTGTGGGTGAGGTTTTGTGTTATTCTGTGCATTACATTTGATATCTAGAACTTGCCCTGTGTGTTTGCAAAGCGAAATAGTTGTTTTATTCAGTCTTGAAAGTAATATAGGCGTTTCTTTGTTGAGCCAGATATATGTGTTTACCCACCAAATTGTTATGTATCTTAGTTAACCCCCTTTGAGACTATAATCTTGTTTCTTTAGCAACCACATTACAAGCTTTACCCATTTGTTTGAATTGACCATCTATTTGAACCGTTTACCTCTCGTGAGCACTTGAAATTGTATGAACTTTGTGAAAGTTGAAGTGTGGGGTGGTTGGTTTGGCTTTTGAGTGGAACTATTGAACTAAGGAGAAAGGTGCACTATTTTGAAAAAGAAAGATCCACTTGAATTGAAAAAGAAAGAAAAATATAAGTGTATGATTGTGAATAATATTCCTTGATGGTGGTTACTTGATGTAATTGTTCTTAAAGAAGTAGGGAGGTAATGTATATTGATGTGAAGGTGGAGTTATGGTTTGATATAAGTGTGGGGGTTTTGAACGGTCAATTGTATGTATTAAAGTGCTTAGGGAGGTGTAATCAATATATCCAAATGTATCCTACCCGTCGCACGACTTACATTACAACTAATTAAAGTCCTACTTGATCCTTGACCAAATAAGCTCAATTAGTAGAGTAGTACATTACGGGCAAGCTTATGGTACATATTTTGTTGCACATGAATGTTGTTCTGAGAGTGAGCGAGTTATTCCTATCTTGAGTTCCTAATTGTTCTAAAACTTTATTATTTGTGGAACTACTCTCTATTATTTTGTGAGAGCACTTGATTCATGAAGGAATGGTAATGTCATTGACGTCTTTGTTAGAGTAAGTGAGAAGGCTGTGAAAAATGCGCGATGCTGTTGAGTCAACTCTTGAGGCGAGGATGTTACAGTCTTGTGCTTAATCTTTTCTAATATTATTGGTGTGATGAGTTAGGAGAGTTGTTTAAGAAGGTCATGTCTATGTGAAGTGTTGTTTGATTGCTCGAGGACGAGCAATGGTTTATGTGTGGGGTGTTGATGATAGGCTATAATCCTGTATTTTAGTCACTTATTGCACTCTAATTCATTACACTTTACTTATGTTGAGCTTTAATTAGGCGTGTTTGGCACTTATTGTGTGTTTTCTGACCTGTAGGAGTGATTTCGAGCTATGTAGATTTTGTGGCATGAATTCATGCTATTTTAGAGCTTTGAAGTCTGAGTAAAAACCCAAGGGTTAAGTTGGAATCGTGTTCGGAGATCAACAGATGATAATGCACTTTAAGAACAAAACGAAGAATCGAGCAGGCATGCTGCGCATTGTCCAGTAAAGTGCACATAACTATTCTCTCATAAATCCGTTTAGGCTCCACAATATATTTTTGGAAAGATATTTAAAAGGGCTATAACTTTTATGTTTTACATTTTCCCAAATTCCCAGCTTACCACCCAGGTGCGCGACCAAGTGCGCGATCCCGCACCTGGGCGCGCACTTGGGGCAGAACAATGTGGAAAATGCACGAGCAAGTCTCCAGGTGCGCGACCGCGCATGTCCTGTCCTGGAAAAGTCTTATTTCGCTAAGAAAAATGTAGTTTCATTTGGGATTTGTTTTGGGAGCGGATTAAATACCCCAAAACATCATTTTTGACACACTTTTGACATACCTTAGACCTAAGTAAGCTAAGGAGAAGAGGGAGAAGCAAGAGCACAAGGATTTCATCCTTTCTTCCTCACTCAAGATCCGAATTTGGATTTTTTTTAAGCAACTATACTACTCGGCATCACTTGCCTAGTGGCTAATATATAAATAAAATCCCAAAATGGGTTCAAAGCTTACAAGATGTCCAAACCAAAATAGAAGTTGCATGAAGCTACTAGCTATTAAAAAGATAGAAAAGCTAAAATCTAATGAACTAGCTATTACAACATGATAAGTTGAATGCTTCCTTCTCCTATTAGTGTATGTGAATCCATTTGTCATTGGCAAATATC